CAACCAGGACCCCCAACCCCAGCTCGTGCAAACTTTGGCACTACCACGATCGCTTCCAGCCCGGCTCAGCCCAGTGCTGCGGGACTGGGAAACCAGTCCTGGGACTGGGAACGGGGCAGCAAAGGAGCTGGTGTGGCTCTGCCACGAGAATCATGCAAGGAGGTACAGCCCCTCCCTGTCCCCACCGGGCTGTCACCCCCCAGGCCCGGCCTGTGCTTCCCAGGCCACGGAAGGGATGGGGACGTGGGGAGGGACAGACTGAGCACCTGGCAGGGAAGGAGTCCTCTAAGGGAGAGCAGGGGCTGGGACACCAGAGGGAGGGATGCTCCTTGGGGACCACCGTCCCCATCACCCGTGCCTGTGTCTCTCCGTCCCCCGCAGCCCCTGCCCAGCCCCGTGGCCCCAGGGCCACCCTCCAGCAGGGGTTTGTCACCCAGCCCCGAATCCCCAGGGCACCCAGCTGGGCCCCCCACGGGCAGCAGGATCCAGCCCTGTGTGCTGGTAGGGGGGGGTCTGCTTATTGCCTATGGCCCCACGGGTTGCTCTCCCCGGGGGTGTTGCATATTAAGACATTATTGCATAAATATATATATATATCTCTCTCTCCTATATATATATTGCCCTGGGAGCATGCACGGGCAGGCAGAAGGCTCTGCTGTGCTTCTAGAGGTGCAGCCTGGGCTGCAGCGCTGCAGCCCTGCGAGCAGGGAAAGAGCCTGGGAAAAGGAGGGTGAGGGGGGGACAGACCCCCACTCCCTGGCCTCGGGGGGGGCCTGGCTGCTGCCCTGACCCAGAGCAACACAGGTAAAACCATACCGGGTCATGTCCCAGTGCCCCTGCTCAGCACTGGGACTGGAAGGGAGCCTTGCATAGCTGGTGGTGGCCCCGGCTTGGCTCCGGGTGGCCACATTGTCCAGAGGGCTGGGGCTACAAGCCAAACTCCAGGGGACAGGGCCAGCCTGGAGCATCCCCACCGTGGCTAGGAAGCACTCGAAGCCCCAAGATCTGGGGGGTCTGACCCCCTGGGAAGGGCAGGAGCGTCCCAAGAACATCCCAGGAGCGTGGTCTGGCCACGCTGCAGTGCCACGGGCTCCCAGCCCATGCCCAGAGCGGGCACCCGCTGCAGCCGTGCCCCCACAAAGGAAGACTTGGTTCAAGTAACACGTTGAGGGACGTGGACAGGGGGGACCAGGCGATGCCAGGCTGCTCCCGTGTCCCAGCACCCCGTCCCACTGGCTGCACACGGGCAGGATCCGTCCTGCTGCCTCCCCGCTCAGTCCATGTTGGTGCTGGCCGACCTGGAGATGTTGAGGGTCTGGGCAGAGACCGAGATGTCCTCGTGGTCCACGGGGCTGTGGTAGTCGGAGGTGATGTCTGGCTCACCGGGGGGCACCTGCACGGCGGCCAGGCTGAAGGAGTTCACGGAGCCCTTGCGGAGGCACTGGGAGTAGATGCCGAGCAGCAGGTCCAGCTTCTGCTCTATGGACTGCACCTACAAGGGTGGCCAGGGCTCATTGGTGTCCCCCCACCCCAAAAGAGGGGACCTGGGGATCCCGGTTCCCCACCCCACAGGCACCCAAGGGACGGTGACGTGCTCCCTGGTGGCTGTCCCCTCCTGACCTGCCTCTCCACTTTGACCACGCGCCCCATCATGCTGAGCTCATCCACCAGCTCCGTCTCCAGCGCCAGCTTCTCCCCCTTCTCCCGCGTCTTCTTGTCCGCAGTGAGGGCCCCCCTGCCCACGATCTGGTCCACGCTGGCAGGGAGGGAAGGGACACAGCCCATCACTCCCCGTGGACCAGAGGACATGTGAGACCACAGGGGATGGGGACAGGCTCCTGGGACGTGTCCCACCCATCGTGATGGGCCAGCACCGCTCCTGGGGGCATGGCTAGTGGTGGGAGACCCAGGGGAGCCCACAGCCCCCCCGCCTCCTTCGGGACAGCTCACCGCATCTGCAGGCTCTTGATCCTGCCCAGCATGTCCAGGTGACCGGCCGAGTACTGCTCGATGACATCCTTGACATCATAAGGACGCAAGGTCTCCTTGAACTTCCTCTTGGCCACCAGGAACTTCAGGATCCTGCAGGGACATCCAGGACAGCTGCAGGGCACTGGGGAGGACTGGGGGTGCCTGGGGGGGGTCCAGACTGGGGAGGGGGAGGGAGTGTCCAAAGCACCAAGGTCCTGAGCACTGTTCCCACGGGGGCTGAGCCAGGAACCATCCCTGCTCCCTGCCTGGCTCGGCCACCGTCATGGGCTGGACCCAGGAACTCCTCGGACATGTCCCTTTGTCCCCAGGGGCAGAGAGCTGTGGAGAGGGTGGGGACAGGAGCACGTCCACGGGGGGATGCAGGAGGGGACAGTCTCACCTGACAGCCCGGATGAGGGTCTTCACTGCTGGCATGATGTCCTCAAAGGTCAGGTCGCAGTGGGAGCCCTTCTCCTCACCGCTGTCCTCAGGCGGGCAGTCAGCTGAGGGTGCAAGAGTGGGTGGGTGGCAGAGACCAAGGGATGTCCCTATGTGCCCCCCAAAACCCCCCAGCCAGACTCAGGGTTTACCCTCAACCGGGGTCCGCGGCTTGAGCCTCAGGGACGCACGGAAGCGGGTCCGGTCATTGAAGCTCCAGCTCTTCTGCACCTTGGTGGGGCTGGTGGCCTCGGGGACATCCTCGGTGCTGGGGGAGCGGTGCAGGGGGGGCCCCAGGTGCTGCCTGCCCCGGCCCCCCAGCCGCTGTGAGTTGCTCAGCCGGATGCGGTCCTTGATGCCCATCTTGTTGCTGTGGGGGAGAGCAGGGGGGGCAGTGTCAGAGGTGAGGAGGCGTCGGGGACACGGGGATGGGGACAGGGAAGGGAAAAGATCCCTGCTGTGGGCTCACACAGTGCCCACCACGGTGGGGGTGAGCATGGGGCTGGTGGTGCCCAGCTCACGGAGAGCCCCCGGCACAAGCCCACACGAGAGCCAGGCCAGGAGCAGGCAGTACCCCATGTCCGTGAGGGACCAGCTCGGGGGTTACTCCTTTAATCACCCCTTTCTCCCCCCCAAGAGCAGAGAAAGGAGGAGACAGAGGGGACAGCAGGAGAGACAGGGGAGGACACACAGCAGAGCCCTGGTGGGGAGCAGCCCTGCTCCTGTCCTGTCCCCACTGGCATGGGGTGACCTGGGCCACCCAGCCAGGTCCCTTCATACTCCTCCTCCTCCTCCTCCAGGCTGCACCACCTAACTCAGGCTCTGCTCCTGCCCTAACTCAAGCTCTGCTCCTGAAACCAGCCCCTCTTCTGGCGTTTCGAGGGGGAACAACAGGCACCATTTATGTAGGACCTCCACAAAAACATCATCGGGTGCTGCCTCTTGTGAGATGCGGGACCACAAGCACACCCTGGGGACATGCCAGGTGGCCAAGCAGACACACAGCCCTGCAAGGCGAAGCCACGGGGGACACGGAGCAAACCCCACACCCACTGCACGACCGACCCCGTGAAACCCCGGCGTGCGCGGAGCCTCCTGGATTTCCCGGGCCAGGAGTCCCAGGGCAAGGCAGGGGCACGGCAGGGTGCTGGGCTACCAGCAGTAGGTTACTGGCCAGCTGGTTCCAGGGGAGGTTGCCACAAGCCCCTGCAGCGGGAAGATGGGAAGGGTTGTGTCCCGGGGCGGGGCAGGGATCAGCTGCAGGAGAGACATGCGATGGGGTTCATCCAAGTGCTCTTCTTGGATTTTCATCTAATCTTGGTTCTTTACCCAATTTGCTCTTGTAGAACTTGGCCAGCCCAGCATGGCCAAGGGGCCAGCCTCATCCATCCCCCAGGGATGGGGAAACTGAGGCAGGGGGAGCTGTGGGAGCCGGTGGGGGACAGTGGGGACAGCCAGCTCAGCCCAGGCCATGCACGATTCCCCCCCAGCCCTGCAGAAGGACCACTCTTCAGCCTCTACCCCCTCTGCCTCAGCCCCCCGGACCCCCACAGCCAGCAGCATGGAGCACCATGCACCCCCGGTGCCCCCCGGCCCTGCACGGCCACCGGGACGCAGTACCTCCGTCTCCATGTGCCCCACGTCCGCAAGAGCCTCCTCTTACCACTAAAGATGGGGCTGGAGGGTCAGGGCAGAGACACAGGAGAAAACCAGAGTTAGCCCGTGGCCGGGAGGGAGCCCAGCACCCCGGGTCACCTCGTCCCCGACCCCCCCGCACCCCATTGCGGGGTCCCTGCCCGCCACCGGTGAGCATCTCCTGCTGCAGGGGACCCGGCCACGGTGACCCCTCCGCTGGGGAAGGCAAGAAGCACGAGTAGAGTTGTTTGTGTAGGTCCTGCATAAACACCAAGCCCTGCCCAGCAGGGGAAAGTCCGGTTTCCTGGTGGCAGAGCTCTGCCAAAAAGCCATTTGGTGACCCTGAAACCACCACGGGGGCTCTGGGGCCGCTGCCAGGCTGGGGGGGTGAACGTTACCTGAGGCGTAAGCACTTGTGGGGCTGCACGTCCTCCTCCTTCCAGAGAGGAGGAAGGTGAGCAGGAGAGGGGAGGAGAGAGAGAAGATGAGATGTTATGAGAGGTGATGCTCGCGGAGGAGATGGGGGGAGGCTCGGGCCCCCCCCAGCGTGGGACGGCTGGGGGGCTGCAGTCCTTCCCCTGCCAGCTCCCGGCTCTTCACCGGGGAACCGAGCCCTGGATGGTGCTGCCGCAGCGAGGAGACCCCCCCCAAACCCATACTCACCTCTGGGACAGCGGGTGGAGCAGGGCCCCCTTGGCCCCACAGCCACAGCCCCATGGCTCAGCACATCCCCACATGGTACCAGACCCCCCAGAGCCCTGTCTCCGGCATCGCAGGGGAAACTGAGGCACGATGTCACCGAGGAGCAGCGCTCCCTCTCCCACCTAACCCTGACACTGGCCCAGGTCCCACGCCACGCCGATGCCCTGGTGGCAAGCCAGCAGCCGTGGTGGCACGCTGAGGTCTCCAGGATGCTCTTTGGCCAGACATGATGGGGACATGATGCAGAGCAACCGCCACCAGCAGCACAGCAGCTCTGAACCCTCTTGTCTCTTCTTCTGGGCACTGGGGCAGCTCAGCATCGCTGCTCCCCACTGCTGTGGGCACGGGAAGCCCCTCTTGGACCGCAGGAACTGGGTTTTGCTCCTTCCCTGGGTCTCCAGGAGGGTCACGCAGCCCCAGCAGCGCTGCCATCATTTTTGGCCACGGTTGGTTCCCCTGTGCAAGGTCCTGGTGCCGCGGCCACACCGAAAACATCAGCGAGGTGGAGCTGAATGTTGCAACAGGCTTCATGATGGTACAACAGCCCAGAGTCCATCTGTGGGGACCAAACGTGTCCCCTCCGGAGCCGGGAGCAGGGCTGGCAGCCAGCAGCAGGGCAGGATGGTGCCCTGGCTCGGTGCTGGGGGGGAGCGGGGCCAGGGGCTGCTCCCCTGGGGTCCGGGCTGGCAGTGACAGACACCACGGTGGCACCACGGGTGGACACAGACGAGCAGAGAAGAGAGGACAGAGAGGAGGGAGAACGCGGGGCCGGGGGGCTGCCCCCTCCTACCTTTCCCCCGAGCAAGCGGCAGGGCTGAGGCTTTTCTGGCCAGGGGTGAAGGAGTGATAAGGTGGTGGGGCTCCGTCGGGCAATTTTTTCACCTCTGAATTCCTAAATCCTCCGTTGCGGACCCGGTGCAAATGCTCAAACATTAGGACCAGCTCTCTGGGGTTGGGATTAAATAAAAACATGGAGAAATTAAACCTTCCAAAGCAAATGCGATGAGCAAACCAAGGCTGAGCAGAGCAGAGCCTCCGCCGTGCAAACCAAAGCAAAACCAGAGAAAAAAAAAAAAAAGGAAGGAAAACTCAGCACTTTCTTTCAAAAGACAGTTTCTTAACAGCTCTGACACCCACTGCCAGCACGGTCCTGGGGAGGGCAGTGCCAGGAAAGGGTCCCACAGAGGCTGGGCACTGACAGAGGGGCTGAGAGGGGTTGGACTCGTGCTGAGAGGGATGGTTCAGGCACCCTCGCTGCGAGGTGGGGACATGGGAACCTGCCACCATCTGCTCTGAGGGTTCCGGGGGCTGCCAGAGCAGGGGGGAGGCCGGAGCCATCAGGGATGGAGCTGTCAGGGATGGAGCCAGCCCCATCTCAACTCCCTGCTGCAGGAGAAGCTGTTCCCAGCACAGCAGGAGGGGCTGGTGGAATCCCCTGTGATGCCCACGCCAGGAGAACCCAGCACCGTGCTCGGCAGAAGCCAGATCTCCTCAGGGACCAGAGGGACTCGCTGCCAGGGCTGTTAAGATCCTCGTCTTTGAAAAAATAAAGAGTGAAATGGAACAGTAAATTTATCATTGCAAAGAAACACATGGATGGAGCAGGGGCAGGACCCTCGGGCAGAGGCAGGAGGAGGGCAGAGCTCTGGCACACAGAGCATCCGGATAAGCTTCGGAGAGTCCTCTATCCACCCGTGGTGGCAACATCCCAGAGACACAGAAGGGGAGAACACTGCAGGGACGGGGCACAGGGCTCCCTCCCAGACCCTCCGGGTCCATCCCTTCTGTCGTCACGCTTGGAGCCGGCTCCCGGCTGGCCACAGCTCCATCACCCCGGCCACAAGGTCCCTGTGGTCACTGTCATCATCCTCTTCCTCACAGCGGTGCTGGAGGAAGTCTATGGATGGGGTGAGATGGGACAGGGTGGGCTGGGAGGATGGTGAGGATGGAGGAGGGTGTTGGGCATTTGGGCAGATGCTGTGCTGGGACTCTGACATCCCGGGGGCTGAGCGAGGCGTCCCGTGATGCTCAGCCCCACCGAGCCCTCAGCAGCTCCAGGTGGCCCCTCGTGGCAGGGGCTGCCCAGGTCACTCCTCAGCCTGGGACCCCCCGGGAGCCCCCCAGCCCCTCTGCCTACCTGAGGGAGGGCAGGAGGCTGTCGTAGTAACACCAGGTGGCCGTCAGGTACGCCCGGCTGGCATCCGTGGAGTACAGGCGCCAGGCAGCCTGGATGGGAGTGACAGCCCCCGGGCACCGGGATCAGCCCCTGCGAGACCCCCTGTGCCAGCCCCCTCCATCACGGGCTGAGCCTGGCCCAAAGGAGGCAGCTGCTGGGTTGGGAGTCAGGGGTTTGGGACAGGCAGAGGGGACACGGGGGACAGCAGAGCATTCCCTGGGAAGGGACGGGGCAGGACACCCAGCCCTGCTCTACCTGGATCAGGTTCGCCGCCGGGGTCCGTCTCTTCTCAAAGTGCTTCTGCCGATGTTGCTCCTGCACTTTGAGGGCAAAACCAGAGCCCAGGATCCCCTGGGGACGGGAGGGGACGGGGTCCGTGGGTGCCGGCCACCACCAGCCAGGAGAGATGGGGACCCTTCCACTGCAGGGGTGGATTTTTCCCCTTTCTCCCCTATTTCTGTGGGGCAGGAGGTGCGGGGACCCTCTGCCCAGCCCTACTCACAGCAGGCAGCGCGAAGAGGGGGGGGGACAGCAGGGCGAAGCCGGCCGCCAGCATCCTCCCCAGCCACGTCTGCGGCGTCTTGTCCCCGTAGCCGATGGTGGTGAGGGTCACCTGCCCGGGGGCAGAGCAGGGGGAGGCCTGGAGGGAGCTCCCCCGCCGCGGCCCCATCCCACCCTCCTGGTGCGGGGACCCTCTGCCCAGCCCTACTCACAGCAGGCAGCGCGAAGAAGGAGATGCCCAGCAGGGCGAAGCCGGCTGCCAGCATCCTCCCCAGCCACGTCTGCGGCGTCTTGTCCCCGTAGCCGATGGTGGTGAGGGTCACCTGCCCGGGGGCAGAGCAGGGGGAGGCCTGGAGGGAGCTCCCCCGCCGCGGCCCCATCCCACCCTCCTCGTCCCCTCCCGGGGCTGGGGGGCCGCGGGGGGCCGGGCTTACCGTGCCCCACCAGAGGGAGTCGGCGTAGGTGGCAAATTGGGCATTGGCGTCCTTCTCAGCCAGGTAGACGAGGAAGGAGGCGAAGATGAGCACCAGGAAGCCGATGTACCAGGCGGTGATGAGCTCCTGCCGGGGTAGGGGGGGTGAGAGGGGGGGTTGGGAAGGGGGTGTGTGTCAGGGCAGGGGGTGGGGGGGCCGTACCCGGACCCCGCATCCTCACCTTGCTGTGGGCATAGACGACGGAGCCCAGCAGCTTCCAGGTGCCGCCGCGCCGGTCCATGCGCACCATGCGCAGGATCTGCAGGAAGCGCATGCTGCGCAGCGCAGAGGTGGCGAAGATGTTGCCCTGGGTGCCGGCGGCGATGACGGCCACCGAGGCGATGAAGACGATGAAATCTGAGGGGAGGGCGAGGGTTGGCAGGGGCTCTTCTCCAACACCCATGGCACGGGTGACACCGCAAGTCCCCAAATCCCCCCGCTCCCTCCCTCTCCCCAGTACCTATCACGCAGAAGGGTTTCCTGGCGAAGCGGAATCGCCCCCTCCAGCCCCGGTAGCGGCAGCAGCAGCCGGCGGCCCAGACGCGGATGACGTACTCCATCCCGAACACCACGATCATCACGAACTCCGGCCAGGGTGGGGAAAAACAGGGGGGGGGGACTCAGCTGGGGGGTGGCTTTGTGGGGGGGACCAAATGAAACGCCGCTGCTGAGGAGGGTGCAGGGGGAGCGTGGTGTCCCCCCCCAAGGCCAACCTTTCTGACACACGGCTGGAGCCATCCCAGGGGAATGAGGGTGGCGAGACGGGAGCGGGGGCCGTGGAGCCTGTGTGAGCCCTGGCTCCCCTACCTGTGCCAGGCTCACACCGAGCCGGGTCCTGTTCCTCTGCCTCAGCATTGTCCTCCTCCCTCCCGCACAAACAAGCCCCCGTTCTGCTTACTCGGGGGAAAGTCACAAGGACCTTCCCAATTTAGTCTCCGTCACTTGGAGAAACTCCAGCGTCAGCCGTTTCTGACAGTTTGGGGGAAAGTTGCCTTTTTTAGCCCCTCCTGCCCTGCCTTTTCCAGTTGTTCCCGCGGAGGTCCGGCTGGCCCCCACGAGCAAAGGGGACACCCGCAGCAGCGAGGCCACCCTCCAGCTTGGCCCCAGCATGGCAAAACCAAGGATCAATAGTGACATCTGGGCTGGGGAAGGGGCTGCCCACCATCTCCTCCGAGCCTCTTAGGGTGTAATACGGGGAGGGGGAACCCGAGCGACAGCCCTGCTCCCCACTCACCAGGATGAAGAGGCACTCGTTGGCCAGTTTCTGGTGCTCCTGGATGGTGGAGAAGACCGACAGCACCAGGCAGCTGAAGACAAGGAGGAATCTGGAACGAGAGCACGTCGGTGTGGGCACTGGGACCATCCTGGGGGGGGGGGGATCCCATCCTGCAGCACTGGCCCCCACTCACAGCCTGTCCCCCCCAGCCAAGACCTCCACGGCTGTGGCTGAGCCACCGGGGACACGGTTTGCCCCTAGATGGTGGCATGGAGCAGTTCAGGAGCCCACGAAGCACGAAGCCTGCCCACCCCGAGGCTGCCCGCGGCACTGGGATGCCCGGTGCAGGCAACACCTCCCTGGGACAGGTCACAGAGCCCACGGTGGGACCCTTCTGTTCCCCGAGCATCCCTCCAGCACCTCCATCCTCTCAGCCCAGGGCTGCACGGTGCTCCCCAAACCCAGTGCCCCCCACGTGATGGGCACCAGCCCTGCATGGCACCCATGTGCCAGCCCAGACTGGTGGCACACATGTCCCCAGGCTTCCCCGCAGGCATCAAGGAGGAGGAGGACCAGGATCCAGGGGCCATTGGGCTCTGTCACAGCCCTGCAGCCTCCTCCCTGGGCAAAACAACCAACAATTAAAGGCCAGGAGGAAAACTGGGGGTCCCGCACGGCAGCAGGGCTGCTGTTGCTGCAGGAGGGGATCAGAGCTTCTCCTCACTGTCCCAAGCATCGCTGCCTCCGTGAGGACCTGCCGGGGACACAGGGGCCACCCAGGAACAGCCAGCCCAGGGGAAGAGTTAAGAGGGAGCTGCCCCAGGGTTATTTGTCCCCGAGAGCTGGGTTAAGAGACAAGGGGCTTTGGCCCATTTAAAGTAAGGAGGGGAAAAAAAAATAATAGACTCTGAAGCTGAAGCAAATGAAACTCCAAAAATACATTTTTTCCCCTGATCCAGCGATTCTAAAAATGGAAAGCGGAGGGCTTGTGCCACCAGCCCACGTGACGGCGTGCAAAGGGCCACTGCTCCGCTGGAGCTGGCTCCGTAATGGCCCGGGTGGCTCCGGGCACCCACCGGGCACCGTGGGCCCAGGGCACTGAGGGATGGCAGCACCGGGGTGGCCAGTGCTGGAGCTGGCTCCGTAACGGCCCGGGGGGGCTCCGGGCACCCACCGGGCACCGTGGGCCCAGGGCACTGAGGGATGGCAGCACCGGGGTGGCCAGGGCTGAGGCCAGCAGTGCAGGAGAGGTGGCCCTGGCACCTGTCCCCGAGCTGGTGGGCATCCATTTCGCCCCCCCAGCTCCATCTCCCCCCAGTGAGCACCCATCAGTGGTGCTCCCAGGGAGCGCGGGGGGCTCAGCTGGGGGAGATGCTGCCCAACTCCAGCTCAGGAGCCCTTTCCCCTTTTCTCTTGTTGCTGACGTGGAGTTTTAGAGCTGAACCGGTGGCCAGAGGGTGAAACATGCCTGTCCCAGCAACGGTGGGGAGACACCGGGTGACACAGGGGAGAGGGGACAATGCTCTGTGCCCTCTGTGAGACCACCTGGGTCAAGGGAACCCGGCTCAGAGACTGGGGGTGGGATCAAGCCTGGGGATACAAGCACCCACTGAACCCACAGTCTGTGCCATGTAGGGCTGGGGGCTCTGCAAACATGGGCACAGCTCTGGGGGGCTGCCATGTGCCCACAGAAGGGCAGCACCCGGCTCGAAACCCAGCCTGAAGGGAACAGGGAGGTCCCCTCACCCCAAACCACCAGGAGAGGAAACTGGGGATGGGACCAATGGCAGATAAATGGGCTGGATGTGGAGCAGGGAGAAGGGAGAGCTGGAGGGACACGGGTCAGCACCGCAGGGGACGGGGGTGTCACGGCCCTGACACCGCCCTGCGGAGGGTGATGCTCCTCTCCCAGGCGCTCCCCATCCGCAAGGCAGCAGGATGGAGCCAGCTCCTTCTTCCACCTGAATTATTTATCGAGCCCTTTTCCTCTGGCACAGCAGTTCTGCCATTAACTCCTCCGGCAGCCGACGGCACCGCCGTACCCCCGTCACTGCCCGTGCCGGCGGGGAGGGCAGCAGTGCCACGGGACACGGGGCAGGCTGGTGGCATCTCGGCCACTCGCTCTGAGGAGCAAAACAAGACCTGGCGGAGCAGCCCAGGGCAGAACCTTTCTGCTTTGTGCATCATCAGCAATAAAGATTATACAATGGGGATTTAGCAGGCAATTACACGGGCAGCGAAGCACAAAGCAGGCGAGGAGGCAGAAATCTCCCAGCCTGCAGAGATTTGTGCCTCTCGCCCCGGACGGGGAGTGGGAAGGGGGGAGGTCTGTGGTGCCTGGGCACACGCAGCTCCCACAGGGGGGACACTGCGGGTGGCCCTGCCTCGGGCAGCAGCGAGTCACGGTGACTCTGCACCCACCTGGAGCCCCGCTCCTCACCCGTCCCCACGAGCAGTGGAGACTGTAAATGTCAGTGAATCCACACCGCAGGAGCTGCGATGGAAACCCACACCCTTGGGGTGGGGATGCGTCCCACCCGGTCTCCCCCCCCCACAAGCATCCCACAGGATTTGGTGAAGGATCCGGGCATGCGAGGCCCCACGGGGCCGGCTGGGAAAGAAACTTTGCTGGGAACACATCACCTGCTAGGAATTAACTCGTAAAGCCTGGGCAAGCGCCCCGTCCCGCCTGCGCCTAAGCAGCTTAGGGGAAGGGTCAGATGCCTGAAGGCAGCTCGGGGAGCCAGGAACCGGCCGTCCCCCTCCCAGTCCCCCCCTCTGGGGCAGAAGTGCTGCTCTCAGCAGCTCTGCCCCACACCGCGGGCTCCTCCGACCTCTCCATCAAATGCCGCACGGTGCCGGCAGTGCCAGGCTCCCCCCCGTGCGCTCCCTCCCCAATTCACTGCTCTTCCCACCCACCAAGCAGGGACTCCCCCCAAAAAAACTAATCAAATAAAAAAAGGAGTGCTGCCAGGGAAAGTGAGGATGGGGCAGAGATGGCAGGGCAGGACCTGGCAGAAGACTCGCTGCCTCCCCTCTCCCCTTCGCCAGGGTCCCAGGGGACAGAGGGAGCAGATGCTGCTGTTGCTGAGCCGGTGCATCAGTTCTCCCCGATAAACTTTCCATCATCAGCCCCCCCCTCCCCGAGGGGCTCCCAAACACCTCCCTGCTGGCACAGGTCCCCACACATGAGTGGACACGCCAACGGCAGCCTGGGCACGGGGATGGGACTCTCACCCCTGCAGGAACAAAGCCTGTCTGCAGGAACACTCCTCCCCAAAATGATAATTAAAACCCGGCAGGGGGGCCCCCGAGTTGGAGAAGGCGAATCTCCTCACATTAATCTTCATTAGAGCGGACTCTGCCATATGCTCCTGCCCACGGTGCCGGCGGAGGAAGAGCCGAGCCAGGAAAGGTGCTGAGCTCAGGGGAAGCGGGGCCAGGTTGGTCCCTGGCTGGCAAGGAGCAGCATCGGGCAAGGGGGCACCAGCCAGCACCCAGTGCCCCCCGAACCCCCCCAGGCAAACGGGCTGCACCCCAGTATAACCCAGGCAAAGCTGTGCCATGGCACCCCAGTGCCACCGATGGGATGGTGATGCTCAGAGCCCAGCCAGACTCTGCCCTCCAGCCCCAGCCAGCAGCCGGTGTTTGGGCTGGGAAGGGGGGTGCCATGCTGGGTCAGGACCCTGCTTTGCTCCCCCTGCCCCAAAACCCTGCGAGGAAGCCCCAAGCTCCAGGGAGGCTCGTGCCGACAGCCCAGCAATAACTCAGCGGAAGGAAAACACCACGCGCCGCAGGATAAACAGCTCAGCCAGGGGATGGGTGAGCAAACAGCCTCTGCTGAACCCACCGTCCCCCTCCCCGGCCAAGCCTGGTCCCCCCGTGGCACTGCCAGGTCCCCACGGTGCCGGGCAGCAGCTGGGTACCCAGCCATGATGTGTGTGTCCCCCCCAGGCTGTGCCACTGTGGGAAATGGCTTTTTGGACCAAAACTGCTTGAGCCCAGCTCTGATGGGGACAGGGATGGGGACAGGGATGGGGACGGTGCTTCTCTCTCCAGACAGCGAGGTTCAGCTCCCCAAGCCCCCTCTGCAGCTGTATAAACTGCGTGTCTTATAAACCCCCCTCTCCCCCACCCCGTCCCTCGCCCCAGCAGCCCTCACGGAGAGGTGGAGCAGGCGGCCTGTCTGCTCCGGGGGATATAAATAACCGGGGTGTAGCGGGGCTGTTTGCGGCCGTAACCATGGCAGGGTCCGTCCCACGCCACGCTGCTGCCCGCCCCGCAGGGAGAAGAGAAGCAGAAAAGCTCCCAGTGTTTCCCCACGGCCAGGGAAACCGCAGCCGGAGCCAGGAACGGCCCGAG